GGTTCTGCTGGAGGTTTCTTTCTGATAAAATGGAATTCTTCTTCTCCACTACAAGCATGCTTAGTGTGAGGGATTGCATTTAAGTCAATTAATCGATGCAATCAACTGGCTTTACTTAGATAGAAAACTTTGAATCAATTTGACTGTATGATCTGGTGAACTGTCAAGTGCCTTGAGGTGACGTGTTGTGAATTGGCGCTATAGAAATAAACTGAATTGAATTTAATGTAATTTTTGTGGTCTCATAAAAAATTCCCTGTCCTTCAAGAAGTCTTGAAACCAGCCCAGTGCAATATCTTAAAAAAGGTTGACCCAATTTTCCATGCATTTTCCATAAAATTTACTAAAAAAAGCAGTGTTGAATTGTACTATTGTCCAATAATACCAGCTCTGCATTTCTTTTAAAGAGTTATTTTAATTCTCCATCAGAACCAACAGACAGGGGAAAAAATATATTGTAACAAGATGAAGTTATTTGACAAGTAACATATTAATTTAGTTTGGTTATTCAATTTCACTTAATAGTTACAACTTAATGTGAATATCAGACTTTGTAAATACATCAGTTGTATAAATAAGGTTGCATTAGACTGTATGTACTTCTTTTCGGCCCCCTAGTGTTTTAGCAGATCTAAGCAAAATCTTGGTTTATAAACATAAAAACTTTCTTTTGTCACACTTTAAATAAGGCTAAAAATCTTCAGGGTTTATTAAAAAGAGAGCAGCCAGAGGAAACTAATGCTTCTCCAGGAAGTCAGGAAGTTCCTTCTTTATTCTCATTTCTTTTTCCACTCATATCTACACCATCAAAAAGATCGAAATTCTTTTTTTTAACAATATAGATGCATCAGAAAACCTATAAAAAGAAATCAAAAGCAATTTTGAACCCATGAAAAAATCCTCCAGCATGAAGCATCAAAATGAGTGGACTTTCTTCACCATCTTTTTTTGGTCCAAATAACCTTTAACTGAGACTCACTTTGTAAAAATATGGTTTTCATATACTATTTTGATCCTTTTGAACAAAATGCTTCTTAAAGAGTAATAAAATAATTGGTTATTTGTCTGGTCTGGGTCTACAAAGATTCCTTTTCTTTGCTACTATAGGTTAATGTTGTGTAAATACAGTACATTTGTGTCACTGGTTTACATTCAGAAGTACAGTTTTACAAGCATTTCTTATTTTAGACATCTTCAGGCCATACATCAGCGGGTTAAAAAGAGGCTGTGCAGTTAGGAAGTAAAGCGAGAGGAAAATACGCAGAAAATTTGGCAGGAAGCTCATGTTGAATCTGCTCTGAGAGATCTCAAAGCTACCAGCGAAGGAAAAGTTCAAGATGGAGGCCAGGTGAGGTGTACAGGTGTTCAAGGCTTTCTGACGGGTTTGTTTGGATCCAGAGAAACACACAACAAGGATCTTGATGTAGGTGTAGAGAATCAGAAGCAACGAGACCAAGATAGTACTGAATGTAGCAGTGAGTCCATAAATGTTCGTGATGGCCCTTTCCGTACAGGCCAGTTTAACCATAGAATGAACATCACAGTACACTTTGTTTATCTGGTTCCCACACAGCTTCACCGGTAGCAGAGGCATCATTAAGGACATAATAACAAGTGGATACAACCAGGCTACAGCAATCAGTACGGCAATCTTTTTGGGTGTCATTTTGTTGTTGTACTGCAGAGGGTAACAGATAGCGAGGTAACGGTCATATGAGACAACTGCTAAGTTTAAAAATTCAACCGCCCCGTAAGAATGGACCATAAAAACCTGAAGGAAGCAGAGCGGAGCAGAAATAATGTGGAGATTTGAGAGGATCTGAACCAGCAAGAAGGGAAACAAGCCTGAGCTGCCATACAGTTCATTGACAAACAGGCTGCAGAGAAACATGTACATGGGTTCATGTAAGCTCCTGTTTGTACAGATCACAACAATGAGCAGGACGTTAGAGAAGACTATGAAGGCATACAAAATCAAGATGACAGTGAAATACAAATAGGTCAAACCCCAGGAGTTGATATAAGCAGTGAAAGAAAAAAAAAAAACCTGTGAAGAGTTAGTCATGCCGTTTCACATTCTCAACAGTCAGACATAAAGAAAGATTATGATTTTAGTTAAAGCTTTTTACCCAAAAGTAAAACATTGAATTTAACCACAGCCTCCAATCTACTGGCTGAACACATTGTAATAATACTGAGAGCATTTTCCCTCATACATTAATTATCAGGCTGAAGGTTTCAGCAAAAAGTAAATTAGAAAATGAGGCAACATCTCCTGATAAAGCTCACAGCCCACTGAAGATTAAATAATGTACAGAGAAAAAAAACAAAAACAGGTTCCTTCCTATGCTCTGTAT